GACCAAATAACTCATCTTTATCGAATAAAGATGCAAGGTTTTTTTTAAAGTTTTTTTTAAGATATAAAGAATAAAGATATTATCTTTGTAATTTTTTGGTAGTAAAAGACAGTATAAAGTTTCTGTTAGTATAGTTCTTTTACAATGTTGATAAATCGGGTTCTTAACGAATTTCAAAATCTCTCAATTTTAGTCGGGCAAGTTTGAACCGTTTGCTGGGTGTTGTGCAATAAATAAAATGCAATGTGTTTTTTTCTCCCAAACGTTTCGGTTTATTTTTAAACCTTCTTCAGTGGGTTACTAAGATTTGTGTATTTGTTTACATTAGAATTAATCTTACAATAAGTTTACAATTAATTTTACAGAGCTTTAGTGATGTACCTTTATTGTGAACAATCCCTCCTGATTTTTGATGACGAAGTGTTAAAAGTTAGTTGTTGTCAATTTTTTTAAAAAAAGTTAGTCGTTGTGTAGATGTGTTTACTATAGTTTTTTTGTCTTTAACAATGTAAATACTATTTGGTAAATTAAGTTTTCGAGTGAGGTTTTTATATACACGGAAAAAAAAGATGTTGAATCAACAGTATTAGTTTAATTGAAATACATCCTGTTGATGTAACATCAATATTATTGCGCTACACACAGCAGATAGTTGCTTTAAGAATCTAGACATTAAATTAATCGCATACGCAATTGAATGAATTATTTATTTTTGTGGCAGCCCGTGACGTCAATTTTAATTGAAGCAACTCCATTTTTTTTTCTGTGTACCAGAGTTACCCTAACTAAAAATTCCTTGCAATTTTTTTAGATTTAAATTTGCAAATATAATTACTTTTATAATATATGTGATAATATAATTATTATAATAATTTAATATAAAAATTACATACATTTTACAACAATTAACAAAAATTTGTTCACTAATTTTAGACTTATGCGTTTTTCTTCCAATAAAGACAATGAATTGCAGATTCTGCGAGAATATCATTCAGGATATGAATGATCGATCATTTCTATCAAAAAGTTTTTCTTTGGTCATGTGTCACCGTGTCGTTTGCAGAATAAAGCTATATCTTACTTTATACATGTCCCGAGCCAAAATTACGCGCGTTCCGATAATACAGTAGGGAAAGGAACGATCTGTAGCTGTCGAATGCGATCCATTACGCTTTATTTTATCCTTCAATTCTTTTTCTTTTTTCCGTATATTTGCTTTTCTTGACCTTTCAAATATGGCATGTTGTATTAACCATTATATTTAAAAAACAGTCGCTATAATTGCAAAAATTTAAAACATGATTTCTGTATGCACAACATATTACTATAAATATGTTGTACAAAAAAGAATTAAGTTTTAAATATTGATCATCTTTTAATTAATCGCTTGTTAATTGATGTTTGTAACTGCTCGATATTCTTTAGCCAATGTGTTTGCAATTTGTATTCGTCCATTATGTCGTAATTATGCGAGAATATCTGCAGTTGTTTATTCTCCAGAATACTGCCGCGATTACTAAGATTGCGTGTGCCTGACGCTTTCTCGTCATTTCCTACAATATAACTCTTTTCTATGAATTTATATGATTATATTATAGGAACAAATAAAAAAATGTATGATGTATAGAAATTAAAAAGAACGCATGAAAAACAAAGAAGAACAAAAAATAAAATCAGGATTATAATGTATGATAGTGAAAGTAAAGTTAATTAAACTTTTTGTTATCAATGTGTATGTGTGCGTAAAATTAAAATATTCTCTTTGAAACGAAAATATATAACTATTTTATTAATGATATAGATTTTGAGTTGTGTGTGCATGTCCGTGCGTGCGTGCGCGCGCGCGCACGACATGCACATACAACTCAAAACTTTTTTGTAAGCGTTAGGCACGCGCGCGCGTGTGTAAAAATTTATTGAATTCGATTTTTAATTTTTTTAATCAAACTATATTTACACGTCTTGCAAACTATTTTCAGTTTTGTTATTTTTGTTTTTGGAAAGTTAGTTTTTGATCGATCACGTTAATTTTAGTTCAAACTTTTTGACGCATCCGGTTTTAAATCCTCTTGTAATTGTCTGTCACGAGCTGCAAGTTTTATTCTATTTAAACAAAAGATAGGCGTTGCAGATGAAACTAGCGCAAAATTCTGACGCGACAAATTGCAAAATACGGGGAATTGTTATAAAAGGATGAGGCAATATTTCGAAACGTTAGTGGGAAATATCTTGCGTATATATGGGAATTTATTGATGCACGAAAGAACGCTACAATATTGGTTATCGATTAGAATTAGGTTCGCAAGAAGTATCTTAAATTGTTCATATATCTTTAACAGAAGTAGCTCATAAAGTAACGCAATAGTAACAATATTTTTCCTAAGAAACATTCCGATAGTAAGATTACGAACAGTCAATACTTTCTTTTATTATACTTTTTGCTAATGTAATAAAGATATTTTCGAACGTTTTATTTTTTAAAAATTCGATGTTTATATGTTGCTATAATAGTAATATATCTAATATACACTAATTACAAAAGAAAAACAGTTTCTTCTTTTATCTGTGCAGTTTTCTGCCAGTCGCTAAAAATAAACGTATAGAGAAAGAAAGATCTTCTCCTTATGCGAAATCGATTCATTACATTGTAGTAAAACTTTCGAGTACAACGCAAGCTCATCGCGAGATGGTAAGTACAAGTTAAATTAATAAGCAAGGATTTGGCGCATATTTGTTTGACCATCTATTATATTTGCGTTATCCGATGCAATAAATATGTATTGCAAACAAAATCGGATCAGAGAGAGAGAGAGAGAGAGGGAAAGAGAATCTTGTGGAAAAAAATAGTTGATTGTACAACCATGTGTGCAGCTGCGGCAAAGTTTTATGAGCGGGACATTCGCAAGAAAAGGACGGACGTAACCTTTTACGGCTGAATTCTTCAGGCACGTTGTGAATTATCCATGTTACCTCGTTTTTCACGCGACGATGGACCTTCTCTTTCTTTCTCTCTCTCATAGGCGACAAGAAATGCATAATTTCATCGTGCCCGCTGAATATATTCAGCCAGCTTATTTGTCTAAGTTGCTACCGTTTTGTGCTGCAAACAATACTAGGAACAATGTTACAAATAAATTTCTGTTGCGCAAAACACTCGAGGGATTATATGCATAGTATCTCGGAAAAAAGAGATGAGAACGAGGAAAAGAGTGAATCTGCACAAGTTTGAAAATCTTTGCAAAAGGCAAAATTTAGAATGTGATTTATGTAATTTGAACATCTAAAAACAGTATCTGAAATCTTTTCCACGCAATAACAATTGTAATAATCGTGCTTGCGTCATCTTTTTTATTGACAATGAGTGAGATTATCTCTCGAATTTCTTTAATACCATAATGTAGTTTTAATAACATATTTTTAATAACATAATTAACAATATGATGTTTTGATAAAAAAATAACTAAAAAGGAAGACAAACCAGAAATAACAAACCAGAAATTCAAGTAAAGCTTCCATAATAGTAGGATAAAAAATAAAATTGAAAAATATGTTAGGGGAAAAGTGGCATAAAAGAGCTAGGTTTTGAAAGAACCATTTTTAATTATTCGACAGTTTCTGAACGAATCTTACGGAAGTTTTAATTTTTATATAGCAATACTAGACGTGTAGCATCCACAAACATTTGACAGATTATTAAAAATAAATAGCGCCAGTGCATCGTATTAAAGATTTTGTCATTGAGAAGTAAATTTTTGGGTTTTATTTTTTGTTTTTTAACATTTTTGTGTAAAGAAATAATACAAAAATTATTATATCATGATTTTATACATGTATGTAGTTTCCTAATTATGTAACTACTTCTCATTCATAGCGTTAATTTGATAGTGTATTTTTAGATCATAATTAATGATAAGTATTTTTTAAAATCATGATATATAAACCAAAAAAATCTTTTTAATAAAACATCTAGCTTTGACAGTAAATATAGCGATAATTTGTCTTCAGATTCTGACAAAATGTTATTACAAATAAAAAAAAATTTTTTAAATAGAAAAAGAAAATAATAATAATTGTGTAATATTAATAGTGTTCATTAAACGCTATAAAAAAGGAAGCAAATATGGTTTCAGTGTAAACTTTGGTTTGATTGGGCACACGAAAAATGTGAGATAAAAGGAACGCTAAATTATTTTTATCAAAATTGCTTTTAAAGATACTTAAAAAATTAAGTTTTTTTCTCAATTGTAATTTTAAAAGTTTTTTTGAAAGTTTGATTAATCAAGTATGAGTTACTTAGATTTAAATAAAAAATATATAAATTTACGTTGATGATTTTGTTGATTTTGAAGAGATTGTTATGAAATTTTTAGCATTTTTGTTAACAATTATATTAATGTTAACAATTGAATTAATGTCTATTAATAGTTTGTTTATTATTTTGTTTATAAACAGTTAAAGATTCTCGTTATAAGAAATCGGCTTTTTTATAACATTTGATGGCTATTTCAATACCATTATGTTATGAAAGATCCGAAGTTTACTTTTATTAAGTGAAAATATGTTTATTAAGCTTGTTGGGTTTTGTCTTTTTGTTTATTACATAACATAAAGGAATAAATGAACTACAAATTGAAACAATAAACGTTATGTTTGATTGCATTTTAAATGGTTTTTTTGGTTTCATACTAAAACTGGCTCTGTCATGCCACTCCTCTATATTCGAAAGTTGTAAAATTAAATATTTCTCATTTATTATTTCGCACAGGCATCTGCGTTGACTTCATAAAAAGAGAAAAGAATTTTCATACGCTATGCTATGATGCTACGGCTTAAAAAGATAATCTGCAAAATTTATCTGTTTCAAAAAAAATAAATATCGAGAATATTGAAAGGAAAAAAAAAGAATTTCGAATTTACGTTTTAATAGCGTAAGTTTTAAGTGTTGATTATATATTTCCGGAACAATAGTTTCAAAAAGTATTTTCTCTGTTTTAGATATGGTGACATGGTTCCAGAAACGATCGCAGGAAAAATCGTCGGTGGTGTGTGTTCGTTGAGCGGCGTTCTGGTGATCGCTTTACCGGTACCCGTTATCGTGAGCAATTTCAGCAGAATATATCATCAAAATCAACGTGCTGACAAACGGAAAGCACAAAGGGTAAGCACATTTCAAACACTTTACTTTTAAGAGGGAACTTTTCTCCCTGACCTGATTAATACATTTTTTATGGCGATCTATTTCACTAATCACAGGCTTGACTTAAGCCTACGCACAAGCTTAAGTACTGAACGCGCGAGCGTTCTAATTATGTATAGAAAATATACAGGGTGTTTCAGAACTATGGGATCAAACTTCTAGGGGTTATTCAGTGCAACAGTAGAAAACATTTGAGTATAGGGACCCATGTCCGGAAAAGTGTCACTACCGCACTACGGCCCTAAGACGCGTTAAAATTTAGAAAGACGATGAATTGCCTAAATAGGATTTAATGCATTTAATGTTTGCCTGAATTATTGCACCGCACTGTACAAAAGGCAAAAATTAAATGCATTAAATCCTATTTAGGCAATTCATCGTCTTTCTAAATTTTAACGCGTCTTAGGGCCGTAGTGCGGTAGTGACACTTTTCCGGACA